AAAACCCGGCGTCATCGTCATCGAAGGTGCTCTTCGAGCCCTGCTGCTGAGTTTGCTGCGGCTGCCAACGATCTACAGCAGCGCTATGCAGCGCTTATTGCTCAAAGCGGCACACGCACGCACGCACGCACCCACACACACACACACACCGCTTCCTTGGCTTCCGGCGCAGGGACAGGGAGCAAGTGATGGGCTCAGACATGGGTGTGTTCGTTGGCTGGCGCTAGTATGACCGGGCTCGAGAAACGATAGAACACTCTTGACTGTCTTTTATATGCCAAAACTAATGCAGCATGCGCAGTCAAGCAGTTAGGCGCCGCGGCGGAATCAAATGGCCACCTGGATGTTCAGGACTGGGATGGTGTCGTTTGGTGACAAAGTCAATCCGAAGCTCGCAAGGGCTGCAGTCAGAATCCAACTAGTGTGGGATACGCATGTCACGTATCTAAATTGTCCGTTCCACCTGTCGGTTTTGGCTGGAATTTTCATGCGTTTTGGCTTGAGACCAATTTTACGACCAGTTGTGAGCAACTTTGGGTTGCTTTTCCACGGCACGGCAGCGCTGACACTCCACCAGAGGTCTTTCAGCGGGCGGTGTGCCTGCCAGGATTCTGATAAACCCGTTCGAGCCGCTTTGAAACAAGAACTTGTTGAGTGCTCACAGAGCCAAGCGCGGAACGCGCAACGCCCGCCGGCATACTGTGGACGACTCATCGCAGCTAATGGATGGACACTTTTTTGTGTGTTGCTTCGTGGTGATACTTCAATGAAACATCTTGTCGTTACTTGCTGGCTGTCATGAGTATGGCAAAAAAATTTCTGCAAGTTCGTGTGGCTTGTTGGATCTGTTTTTGGTGGACGATTTCAATCTTGCAGTCCTTCTTGGATATAATGCCGGAGACTTATGATTTTGGGTTGCCGGGCTTGGGTGTTACTATTTTCCCCCTTCCTTGAAAAGCAAATATCCAAATCTAGCTTTGCTGATAGCTTTGCAGATGCGGAAAAGGGGATGAGCTGAGGAGTTGCAAGTTAAAGTGTGAAGGGATCAGGCGTAAGCAGAGGGCGCATCAGCACATTTATTTTGTGTTTGCTTTGGTTGAATGCGGTCATCTGTGCCCGAACCCTCGGGAGGTTCAGTCTAGAAGCCTCGTCGAATGACTTTGTAAAGGGGTCCACGCTGTGAATCATGACCACGTCACCAGCGCTTCGACCTGTGATGCGCTGATTCCAAAAGCACCCACCTGCGGTCAATGGCACAGACTCTGATTTCATGAACGTTCCGAACGTTAACAATGACGAAGCCGCAGCCACCAGACCATTATCGTCGAGTTCCCTTGCCGCCCGGACACCGACCCGCCATTTGACTCAACTGAGATGCCAACATGCCCAGAAAGCAGGTAAGGGAAGATGCAGGAACTCCAAAAAAAGAGCGTGTTTCGGTGACCATAATTTGAAGAAGTGAACCTACCCCAAACCAATCGCTTAAAACCCTTCGACACCCTAAACGCAAAGAAGCCGAAAGATAACTCCCAACAAGTCCCAACACCCGAAGAACCCTTACTTCAGATCAATAATCAGAAGCCCTACACCCTAAACTTGCGGCCGATGTGTTTTTCAGCGCTGCCTCATGCACGTAGGACCCCTGGTTCAAGCGCTAAGCCAAAGACCTTGTCGGCAACATACCCTCTGCGGGCTTGCCAGCCTTTTCATGAGGATGAAGGTCATAATAGCCTAGACTTGCCCACCCGGGGTAGGGGTGGAACGAAAGCTCACGAAAGTTGAACTGCCAGCGTTTCGTGGGGATGAAAGTGGGCGGAGAAATTTTCTAGATTTAATGAATTTAACTTTTTTTAAATAGGTTCGCTGGTCCCTTGGTCCCCTGGTCCCCTGGTGTGCTGTCCTTGGTCTTCCTAGCAAAAGGCTACATTCCAATTCTGTCGAGTTGTTTGGTTTTTCCTAGAAAAAAACCTCCCTCCCTCCCTCTGTTCATAGGAACTGGTCCATTTTCTTAGTTTTCCTACGAAAGGCTTATTTTTATATCTTCCTAGGATTCGTACTGCTTTTCGTGGGAATTGTTATACATGTTGCTCGCAAGCTTGCACGGCTTAAAGAGCCGGGGGTTGGGGGGGGTGTGCAGCCCCCCCCCCCCCCCCATTTGCAAACAGAGTGCTCAAATGCTAGGTTTCAAAAAGACGCATATGCTTTGAATCAAGCTTGCCTGGCTGATAAAACGAAGGGGTTGGGGCGAAGGCGCGGCGCACCCCCCCCCCCCCATTTGCAAACACAATGCTCGCATCATGGACTTCAATCGTTCATATATTTTAACAAAAGTGGCCTGATGGGTTTTAATCGTTCACATGCTTTGAAAAGAGCTTGCACGGCTTAAAGAAGTGGGGGGGCTGGGGTCGGGGAGGCGCACCCCCCCCCCCCCCATGTGCAAACGCAATGCTCGCATCGCGGGTTTCAATCGTTCATATGTTTCGAGAAAAGTGGCATGACGGGTTTCAAACGTTCATATGCTTTGAAATAAGCTTGAACGGCTTAAAGAAGTGGAAGGGTTGGGTGGGGGGTGGGGGGCGCAGCCCCCCCCATTTGCAAACGCAATGCTCGAGTGACGGCTTTCAATCTTGCATATTCATTGACAAAAGTGGCCTGATGGGTTTTAATCGTTCATATGCTTTGAAAGAAGCTGGAACGGCTTGAAGAAGCGGGGGGGGGGGGGGGGGGGGGGGGGGGGGGGTTGGGGGGGGAGGGGGGGGGCGCGGGCGCAGCGCCATTTGCAAAAAAAATGCTCGCATGATGGTTTTCAATTGTTCATAGGCTTTGAAACAAGCTTGCGTTACCAAAACAGGCGGTGGGTTTGGGGGGGGGAGGGGGGGGGCCTCCCCCCCCCATTTGCAAACACAACACTCGCATCATGGGTTTTAATCGTTCATGCTTTGGAAAAAGTGATGGGCCGTGCTTTGCATGTCTTCCCAGGCTCGTCTGGATCTGGATGTCAAGGTCAAACCGGTGTGAAGGAGATCCCGATTACATAACCTTTCTTTCCCACAAGGTTTTTCCACAAGCCGCCAAGGTAAGCCCACCGATTGCTGATCGCGGCAACCGTGGGGGTAAGCGAAGATCAGGGCGTTCGGCAACTTGATACCGAGTCCATCAGGGGCTCCTCAAGGATAGGTGCTAGGATCCCGCTGTTTGCATTTAAGGCGCTGCTGGATTCTTAGACATGACTCGAAAGTTAATTTAACTCAAGCGACGAATGAGTTTTGAGATACCACCCTGCGAAAGAAATTCGCAAGAGGTAGCAGTGTCAACAAATATGAGAGAAAGAGCGCGAGAGGGACAAGCCGCTCAGCATGCGGCAAATTGCAGCAAGTTGATTTGCGCTGTATGGTCTCATGTCCGATGGGCACAAGACACGATTGAGCACAGTGCGGCGCCTTTGTCCCGCCTCCTTTTCAGCAAAAGCAGATTGGTAAGAGAGGTGTCATGTTTGCAGGGCGCAGCATCGCATCAAACACAATAGCGCAAAGAGAACTTGTACCACCTTGGTGATAACACTCCTATATGGTATAACCCCTACCCATCTTCACGGCCTGAACACGGTGGACTCATAATCCTGGCCGAGCAATGTCTGCGCGTTTGACGTCATCGCTTCTCCAGGAGTTGCTTAGGGCGTCTTGAACATGGGTCCTACAAAACTTATGCGTTCTCTTCCTGATCCAGGGGGCAGTCGGGGGGACTTTAGCATCCCTGAAGCTGCCGTATGCCAGTTCAGGAGCACTCGATAGATGCAGAAACCCAGTTTTGTCGGCTCGCATCTCAGTGGCCGCGTTGTTGGGTGCCAGAGCCATGCACCTTTGTGTTTCTTCTATGTGCCCGCAGTCTCAACGCATGCCAACGCTTAGGACTTTGGCACAAAGGGCTGGAAATTCGACATGCTTTGCGTGCAAATCGCGCATGTCTGAGTTTGTTGATGTGCCTCTGGCAGTCTTTGTATGTCCGCATCCAAGCTTTCGAAGCACAGCCAAAGCTTTCGTGGCAGCATGCTGAAGTGCTTGAGTAAGGTGATGAATGTGTCAAGGACCACTGGCAGAAGGTCGGGAGCTGAGCATGACGGGTTTTCAGCATTGCTTGGCGCAAACTGCACGTTGTGACCAGAACCAAGCATGAAGTCACCACTGTTTTGATTAACATGGGCGCTAGAAGGCTGGCTGTGTGAACCGCTTCAGGCGTGTCGGAACCTCGGGACCTGGTGTGCTTGTGTGCGGGTAGGACTTTGCTTTTGACGTGCATCACATCTGCGATGTTCATCCGTTCTGTGTATTTACTCCAATGGGAACCCTCTCCGGAAAGGTTCATTCTCTTGTTTGGGGCGTTGTGAGTGGCATTCTCACGAAAGCCAGCTCCTTTGAGTGGGCGGTGGTTGTCGTTTACAAATCTGTCATATTTTTTTTTGCATTTTTTGTTCTCGAATGAGACATGTGGGTCAAAACCCGACCATAGGCTTTCACAGGTATGAAAACATACGCTGAAATAAAAGTTGCGAAAGCAACAGCAGGCACGTTGAAACCGACCACCACTCGAGTGGGAAGACTCCGAGCATTTCTAGTTTTCGGGCTTCTTTTTTCAAGCTTATGCTTTTTTGAGTCGGAGGCTTGGAGGCCACAACCCAAAGCGAGAAGGGGAGTCCTCAAAATATAGGGGAATGTGGTCAGGCGCGGGGTTCAAGATCCAATGGACACAGCAAGAAATTGGAACGGCCTCCATGGGGAGAATAGAAAGGCTAGGTTTATCTGGAACAGACTGTAGACGATATGCATGCGCAAGTCGCGGGCGCCAAAGTTTGCAGAGGCTTTTTCGGCGTGCAAGGGTACATCGAGGGCCGCTGAAAGATCTCGTATGCACCATGCATTCCATCCGCAACCCTATATACATACCTTGCATAAACCTTATACAGCCACGAATGCAACCGCGAAGCGGCAAACTTGCAGGATAGGATGCTTCAAGACCTGCAGGCAGTGTGCTTTAACCAATGTGAGAACGTCGCCCGACACAAGCACGAGATGCACCTACATTCTCAAGCAGTCATTGCGTAGGTCATAACGTTGTAGGAGTTCAGCGTGTCAAGGATGCTGAAGGGCCAGTCACTGGCCTGAGGTTTACACGCCTACACGGACAAACCCCATTAAACCACCAGCCTCCAAACTCCAAGCCAGTGTTTTTGCAAGATAAACGACATCAACACGTGACAGTGCGTGCGCTTCAAAAGGTCGCTGCAGCAACTTTCACTGCGAAGGACATGTTGCGGCCAGATGCCTATCAAATGGTGTCGCGCATGAACACCGCCAGTTCCACTACACTACCCCTTTTGCTGAGGTTGATCATGGGCGGCAATGAAAAGGCTGGCTGGGCTCATCCATGTTGTCATCCGTGGTGAAGCACGTCGCAAGCAATGACCGCAACCTTTCTGTTTGAAACCTCGAACCTTAAAACGCGCTAGCAGCAGAAAAAGCTGCGCGCTATATGCTGCTATCGAAGTCGTCGCAGCCCGGTGTCACAAAGGGCTTGGATGGGCTGGGCTATTTTTCGTGGCTTTCGTCTCAAGTTGTGCTCCGCGTCCATGCTTGCTTGAGTTGATTTTGGTGCCGTCCCCGAACTGTAGGCTTTGGTGTACTGGCAAAACCACGGCAATGTGCCTGACGGTATGCTGAGGCCTCTCTGCTTGAACTAGGCTAGCTTGACAGCTCTTGAGTATTTGCAGTTCTTGGCGGCAGGTACATGTATGAGAACATGCTGGACCGCAGGGTGGCTGAAGCCACATGCTTGAAGGTGTGCGGGCATTCGTTGAAGTTTTTCGGAGGTTCAACAAGCCCTGCATTTAGACTTTGTGTTCGCAAGGGACATGCCACGGAGGGCACCTTTTCATGTCAAGCGTGTGAATCCAGCAAATCCGAGACGTGGTTGCGACCAGGATGCCACAATCTTAGGAACAATGCAGCTAAACCCCCGCCCGCTGTGTAAGTACCTATGGGTGATAAGATTCATGAGATGTGTTACGTCCGGTTGCAACAAGAAGTATCTTGTGAACGTGGAAGCAAGTTTCACTTGCCACCTGATCGAGTGATAAGGAATGTACCGAAGTCTTGCGTCGGTTTCGCGGCAGTTTGTTTTATATTACATGTTTCCTTCCGATTTTCTAGTAAGCGGCAAAACCACGCTGATGTGCTGCTGGCTTATTGGATGGTCGCACTTCGCAAAGCAAAGTCAGTGGTAGCTTTCTTTAGGCGAGCGGCGTAAGTTGCCAGGTTGACTGGGCGATGAAGACGCCAATGACGGACCGGGACTGCAGCCGTATATTGGGCCATGTACGACGCGTTGGTGCCAGCATGTTTTGGGCAGACAGTAGCAGAAAGCCTGGTGCCTGGAAGTCCGAAAGTCCGAAAGAGTTCACTGGAACTGCGGATGTTGCTTGAGTCAATGTGCGCAGGAGGTCTCGCAAGCACGATGCGAGCAATGCTTCAATGGCATGATGAGGCGCGTGTGCGCATGAGAGAGGGTGCAAAAATCACCAGTTCATCGCACGTTTACAAGGTGCTTGGTTCCGCAGCGGCCAGTCGCTTGTTACCCAGATTTTTGGGCACGCGCCTGCCGTTGCATCTGCTTCACTCTTATCCCGAGGCCTCGACTTCGTGGCGGTTTGAAAGTATCGATTGAGCTGCGGGGATGTTCCAGGCCTGCCCAAGAGGAGGATGGAACTTCATAGAAGGTAGTGCGACCCCCTGTATGAGTGAAGTACATTGGTATGGAGATCCAGCGCGTGGCCTGAGGAAAGGCCTATGAAGGTTTCATGTGTGGCCCGTGCCGGAGTGTTGAGCCTAAGCACAAAATGCCGTTTCACAGAATTAGCTGGTGACGACCCACCTTCGCAACCCAATTCGAAGCGAAACATTGTTTGCTTGTTCTGACATGATTGGCCAATTATGCAACAAAGCCCCTGCATGATCCTTGTACCTTTGTAGGATATCGCTGCTGGTTAGCTCTGGACGGCACGACACGTGAGCAAACTGACTTTGCTGTCGTGCAGCAGACCATAAGCGCTGTGGTCTCAGTATGAATAAAGCAGCCAAGCAGTATGCAACGTATGCCAAACAGACGCATCTGCGTTGAACAAGTTCTGGCTGCTAGAGCATTCTGCTGCTCCTAATGGCTGTAAGAGTGGTGTCCTTACTTCATAGCAGTTTTCCGTTGCCCAGCGTGGTATGTGCATAAACGAAAATGGGAAGAGCAGCCAGCCTAGGTTGCACTCGCCGTGTACGATCTCCACGGCGCCGTCAGAGTCAACAACTGGCCTGACCCACAGATCATGGCTTGGGTGGAACAGATTGCCAGCAGCCGATGCTGCAAGGCTTCGTCATTGTGGCAGTGGTGCGTACCACTGCGGCCTGCAGGCAAGGCTTCTTCGCGGCTAGATTTTGCGCAGTGGCATGCTCGTTTTTCGAGGTTTTGGGGCGCGAGTACAGTTTCGGGTATTCCCAAGATGGGGGATCCGGCGTCTACCATCTCTTGTGTCGCAGCCCAGCTTTCCAGTCTCCAGGTAAGCAACACAGTAGGTTGCCTGTTTCAACGAACCCATCCTGGATTTGGTGGGGGCCTAGGCCTGGGTCTTTGCCGAACCTCCGAGAAACGATCGATCTCGGCACCGTTCTTCTGCCGGAGGGTGAGGTTCCTGTGTGAGGTCGGAGCTCCAAGCAGTGCATGGCCATGCGGGTGAGCAGGTGATTCGCATCCTGAGCAACATGTCGATCCAGTGGTTCGCAGCCTTGCAATGGCTTTCCAAAGAATTCGTGAGCAAACGCTGTCAGTGCCGTCGTAGGTACAGGGCATTCCCTATTCACCCATATCCCATCCAAAGGCATTCCACTCTCGGATGGCAAGATGCAGTGTAAGACTGTTTAAGGCCTGCTTGGTCTTACGATTTGCTGCGGCTGGTACCTCAGATTGTCATGTTTGCACTTCTGACTAACTAGACCGTGCGGTTATGTGCAAACAAGGAAAAATTGCGCACACTTCTGCGAAGCTCTCTGTGATGAGTTGGGGGCAGTGGCCTTTGCTTGGCACATGTTTGGCGCATGCCATTTGTACGCTTTCATTCGTCAGGCTGGGCCTTTTCCATCCTGGGCTTGCTCCACAGCGCCTCGAAAGCTAACGCGACCCAGACCAGTATGACACTTGTTGTAAGGTCAAGGCACTACCCAATTCGGAAGTGATCCGGTCATCCATCAGCGCAGCTCGCCACGCAAGCTTTTTGCAGTTGTCTGTTTATAGCGTCCGCGTTTCCTCGTCTCAGGCTCTTGGAGGCTGCGTGCGTGGCATCTTGCTGGCGTCGCACAAAATCTTCCAGCTGGCCGCGCTTGCTGCTAAGTTGCTGCGGAAGGGCTGTGCTGGAGTAAGTCTGGAGCAGCGTTTATGTCGCAAAATGTGCTGTAGAACAAGCGGTAGGTCAGCGCAGCGCCAGTGCGAACGCCTACGACCAAGCTGAGCTTCTCAAGATCATGAGCCTTGACTGGGGGGCATCCTACGGAGAGAAGAGAAGACAGGACGGGGCCTAGTTTAAGAAGCAAATGCGTATGTGCAGGTGATCCGTTTGACACAGCTCGCAAAACTCTGAACAGCTCCAAGCTTAGCATAGAAGTTTCGTGTGAGTTCGTTTGGTTTTTGCCGCGCCATGCCCACACAAAGGCCGCACGCAGAGTTGCCAGGTCATTGTGGTCACCGTATTTTCAATGCTCACGCTGCTCTGTGTCAATCAAGATTCCGATGCCAGGTGTTTCTCACAGCGCCCGCTTCAACGGACGAAGGCGCACTACTTGTTTTCCGTCGGTTGTGGACCGGGTTTGTCAGTCCCGCGCGAAGACCAGCTCACTGGAGTACTGCCTTCGACAAAACGCTAACGAAAAGTCAAAGAGCTTCAAGCATGAAATGAGTTGCAAACCCATAGCGAAATCGGTTTCTTCTTCCCTGTGCCTTCCGACCTGACTGGTCTGTGCAATGGTACACGTTCAGCAGTGATCTTTGCTGTGCTGCCAGTCCTGGATTGGTATTCTGACTTCGAGAAAGTGGACTGATTGGCTGCAGACAATGACCTCTGCGGTTGCAAACGTGGGGTTTCAAGGTAACACAACCGCTACACAATTGCACTTGGTGGAGTCCAGCACAACTTTATGGCTCGGTCAGAAGTGGGCTGCCGTTACATGTTATCGTCAAGTTGGCTACTCTAACACTTTCCCCCCCAACAAGATTCTCAATTCTCATCTGAGTACTTGACAAGCAGTATAGACGCACATAAGAAGCAATATGAAAGTGCCGCAACCGAGTGCCACGGAATGTCAGTGTAACTGCAGACCCCCAAAGCCTGAGCCGGCAGCAGGGCTTTCTCGCCTAGGCCTTCGGGTTGTGATGCTTGCAGCTTGAAATTGAGCTCGCAAGGCAGTGTCGGCAGGATTGGGCGCCAAATGTGCTATTGCAGCCACACCACTCCACACACGATAGCAGCACTGTCCCAGGGACAAAAAAAACTTGGCGTTTGAGGATTGCACACCTTGGGGCGTCCTCCTCGACACGAGTTTGAGCGCGTGCAACTCGAATGCGTTGCGCCATTTTGCACGTTGATTTCGCCTCAGCATTCACAGTGCTCTCCGCAGCTCATGTAGCTCCACAGGGATAGCAGGCTGGTGGGCACAGTTACGGCCACCTTGAGGACACCATCAGCTGCATGAAATTGCGTTTATCCAATCTGTGCGGAGCATGCGTTCAATGAGATCCCGGCATCGGCCTGCCTTTCTTCATCAGTCACCTGAACCTTAAGCCCTAGAGCCCCGGTGTCCAGGAGTGGCCCATGTGGAATGATGGAGGCCCATGGGCCATTGGACTATCATGTTGTGCTGTGTTGCTGGGTATGGGATGTGCAGACGTAATTATTGCTGGCAGGCTCTGAAGACCATTCCGTTGGCAAGGGCACGGACATTTGAAGGCCTGGTTTCCCCCAGTGGCATTGACGCTGATCGACACTCCCCCTCTCGCTTAACCTGTTTTAGCCTCCTATCAGGCGGAGGCGGCATCCGCATCGGCCAAGAAGATGTAACATGATGCGAGTCTTATGTTCTCTGCACACACACACACACACAGACAGAGTCCCGACGACTGGATGAGTGAGGCGAATCCATCCCAGAGCCCACAGAGCGGTGCATGCCTCAAAAATGGTTTCGGGACTTCGGCGAAAGCGCGATATTGAATACGGAATGTGCACCGGACTCAGGCGAGAGCGCGAGATGACGACCCTGTTTGGGGATGTTTGGGGATGTTTGGGGCATGCGGATGCCAAGAGAGTCATCGTGCACGATTTTGAAACGCGTACGGTGATTTGGCGAGAACACATCGCTCTGCGATTATCCACAAATTCATTGATTTCGCGGCTATCTCACGAGATTGTTTCGTGTTTTACTTTGGGCGATGGATTGAAGGGAGATTGATGTGACGTTTGCCATTAAGAGGTGATTGCCGAGCATTGTTTACCCGGCAGCAAATGTCCCATTTTTCTTTGGCATTTTCGTCGCTGCTTTCGGCTCATGGATGAGAAAGTCTTTGCCGGACAGACGTTGACGAAAATGAAAGAAGACAACAAAATACGAGAGAATCCGATCAAGTATATTTTCAAATATTTTCAACAATCACAGGTTTGAGGGCAATTGCCGCTAGGGGAAGGCAAGGAGAAAAGGGAAACAACCGCAAAGCATGCTTTCAATTCAGAGCCGCGCTCGAACCGGCAGCATGTCCAGTAGGATCCCAGTATCAAGGATCCCATTTTCTTATACCCGAAGTATTAGACACGTGGATCCATTCTTGTTACGTACCAATGATCTGAATGATCATGGTCATGGCATAGGTTTTCATCATCTGTTGAGAATGCTGGGATTGTTGTTGCCACATGTTGTGATGTTGATTGAACATGCAGATTGTTGGAGGCCGTCCAAACTCCACAGGAACGCTTGACGGTCATGCCTTGGCAGAGGCTGATGTTTCCGGGTGGAGCGTCGTCTTGCTCAATCATTCGAGGGGTCCATGTTTGCATAGGATTGAGCCTACGTCATCTCCGTGACAGTGTGGGTCTTAAGTTTGGAGTCCTGGGCCTGATTCTCGAGCTTTGCTCGCCTAAGGTCACATGCTCTCCCGGAATGGGTAGATAAACTTGTGCTAAATCTCATCCAGGATCTGCCGCGATGTACCGAATTTACTCTTGCAGTATGTGGTGCCGATTTATGTCTTTCGCATTAAGAGCAAAGGCAGTAGCCCGATCCGACGTCGCCAGGATTGGCGGCCGCAAAACTTTGCCCTGTGTCATGCACCGGATTTGGCTCAGCTTGTTCTGTTGTTTTGTTTGTAGTTTCGGTTGCTAGTCGTGGCGCGCCGCTCTGTTGCCGTGCCAGACGCGGCTTGTGGGTTAGGATTGAGAGATTGAGTTGAATCCACTTTGTTTCCGCACACCATGAGGTTACGACAGAGGTTGCAAAGATTAGTGGCGTGTGCTGGTCGTTCACCATTCCAAGGCGTCTACACTCTAAGTCCAAGTTCTTTCAGCAGCATAGTTCGAAGAATACTGTGGTCATACCGCGGAACAAGACTTGCACTCATGTGGTGCCTGTTTCTGGGAGATCTTCTCTGAAGATTGTGCAGCTGGGCCTCGAAAAACGTTGTGCGCGATCTGCGAGAGCCTGCTGGGTTTGGCGAAGTGTGATCCGAAAACTTTTGTTGGGAGTTTGGCCTGACATCCTGTGACCTTACGTGCAACTAGCCAGAGTTGGTTGTGCAGGCAAAAACACTGCATGGCATGCGGCGTGCACTTGCACTGTCCTCAAAGTCAAATGGGATTGCCCAGAATGTTGTGTTTGCATTCGTTTGCCAATCACAGCTAAGCATGTGCATAGCACTATGCATTCACATGTTTCCTGCGCATGGACTGTGCGAATCGGGCTCCAGTTTTTGTGCTGGCGGCTGGTTGGTTTTTTTTGACAACAATGGCGCGCCGCTCCTTTGCCGTGCCCGTGGCCGCCGCGCTGGCCGTCGTTGGCGTGGGCAGCTGCTTCCTGACCGGCCTTCCTCATGGATCCCAGCCGCCTCGGGCCGCACCCCCTTCGGCCGAGCGCGAGATGCCGCAGCCGAACATGGAGGGCAACTCCTGGACCGCTCCTTTGCTGAGCTTCGGCGCTGCCCTGGGCTTGATCTTCGGCCTCGTGGCAGCGCAGCCCGCCCGGGCCATCACGGCGGAACAGTTCAGCCAGCTCACCTACGCGCAGGTGAAGGGCTCCGGCTTGGCCAACCGCTGCCCCACCGTGGAGTCCAACGGCTCAGAGGTCCCTGTGAAGGGCGGCTCTCGGCTCGTGAACGTGTGCTTCGAGCCCAAGTCCTTCGCCGTGGAGTTCGAGACCGACAAGGGCAAGGAGTTCTCCACCACCAAGCTGATGACCCGTGAGACCTATACCCTGGCCTTCATCGAGGGCAGCCTGGATGCCAACCCCATCACCTTCAAGGAGCAGGATGGTATGGACTTCGCAGCCACTACCGTGAAGCTGCCGGACGGCGAGTACGTGCCTTTCCTGTTCACCGTCAAGGAGCTTGTGGCCAAGGGTGAGGGCAGCTCCTTCAAGCCAGGCTTCACCTGGGGTGGCGAGTTCAGCGTGCCCTCCTACCGAACGGGTGGCTTCCTTGACCCTAAGGGCCGAGGTATGTACCTGGGTTACGATCAGGCCGTCGCCCTGCCGGCCATGCAGTCTGATGGCCAGAGTGGCCAGGAGGAGCTCTTCAAGGAGACCAACAAGGTGTTCGACATCGGCAAGGGCGTCATCGAGATGGAGGTCAGCAAGGCAGGTCCGTGCTGGGCCGTTCCTTTGTTTGCGCCAGCCCACGTGTTCCCTTCAGCCCGAGCACTCATCGCTTACATCGCAGCTGTGTGTGTGCGTGTGTGTGGCTGCAAGACATCAGCAGTGTTTCGTAGGTACCCCACACTCCACAATGTGCCAGGTGAACCAGGAGCTGGGCGAGATCGGCGGCGTCTTCGTGTCCAAGCAGCCCTCCGACACCGACATGGGCGCCAAAGCCCCGAGGCAGGCGAATCATGCCATTGAACTTGCCTCGGTCGCAAGGGAAGGGGAGAAACGGGAGAGGCCACCAAGGTTGTGCTCAGAGCAGCTGATGTAGATTCCCAGCAATAGACCAAAGCCTTTAGGAGACAACATCACCCCAAAACTCGAGCCCACGAACCCCGAAGAGGACCGTGCTGCTGAAGGGCATCTTCTATGGCAAGGTGGTGAATGCCTAGGTAGCTTTCTGGGGTACCCAAAGTTGGTTGTGCAGGCAAAAACACTGCATGGCATGCGCCGTGCACTTGCACTGTCCTCAAAGTCAAATGGGATTGCCCAGAATGTTGTGTTTGCATTCGTGAGCGTGTGCAGAGTACAATGCATTAAGATTTTTCTGCACATGGACTGTGCGAATCGGGCTCCAGTTTTTGTGCTGGCGGCTGGTTGGTTTTTTTTGACAACAATGGCGCGCCGCTCCTTTGCCGTGCCCGTGGCCGCCGCGCTGGCCGTCGTTGGCGTGGGCAGCTGCTTCCTGACCGGCCTTCCTCATGGATCCCAGCCGCCTCGGGCCGCACCCCCTTCGGCCGAGCGCGAGGTGCCGCAGCCGAGCATGGAGGGCAACTCCTGGACCGCTCCTTTGCTGAGCTTCGGCGCTGCCCTGGGCTTGATCTTCGGCCTCGTGGCCGCGCAGCCCGCCCGGGCCATCACGGCGGAACAGTTCAGCCAGCTCACCTACGCGCAGGTGAAGGGCTCCGGCTTGGCCAACCGCTGCCCCACCGTGGAGTCCAACGGCTCAGAGGTCCCTGTGAAGGGCGGCTCTCGGCTTGTGAACGTGTGCTTCGAGCCCAAGTCCTTCGCCGTGGAGTTCGAGACCGACAAGGGCAAGGAGTTCTCCACCACCAAGCTGATGACCCGTGAGACCTATACCCTGGCCTTCATCGAGGGCAGCCTGGATGCCAACCCCATCACCTTCAAGGAGCAGGATGGTATGGACTTCGCAGCCACTACCGTGAAGCTGCCGGACGGCGAGTACGTGCCTTTCCTGTTCACCGTCAAGGAGCTTGTCGCCAAGGGTGAGGGCAGCTCCTTCAAGCCAGGCTTCACCTGGGGTGGCGAGTTCAGCGTGCCCTCCTACCGAACGGGTGGCTTCCTTGACCCTAAGGGCCGAGGTATGTACCTGGGTTACGATCAGGCCGTCGCCCTGCCGGCCATGCAGTCTGATGGCCAGAGTGGCCAGGAGGAGCTCTTCAAGGAGACCAACAAGGTGTTCGACATCGGCAAGGGCGTCATCGAGATGGAGGTCAGCAAGGCAGGTCTGTGCTGGGCCGTTCCTTTGTTTGCGCCAGCCCACGTGTTCCCTTCAGCCCGAGCACTCATCGCTTACATCGCAGCTGTGTGTGTGTGTGGCTGCAAGACATCAGCAGTGTTTCGTAGGTATTCCACACTCCACAATGTGCCAGGTGAACCAGGAGCTGGGCGAGATCGGCGGCGTCTTCGTCTCCAAGCAGCCCTCCGACACCGACATGGGCGCCAAAGCCCCGAGGCAGGTCAGCTTGGTACCCCCCCCCGGCCAGACCTGCAAGCTCTCATAAGCTCTCATACATCAGCAGTCTGAATCCCAAGCCCTCTGCTTTTCTACTCCTTGCGACACAAGAGGACCGTGCTGCTGAAGGGCATCTTCTACGGGAAGGCCTAGAGATTCCCGTGCGGGATGGTGCAACAGTGGTGCAGCATTGTGCAGTTTGGGATGTATGGCGTCTAGGTTTGCAAGTGGGAGTGCTATTGACGGAATCTCGAAATTTGCGGGGTTTACATCCCGAAGCTCCCGAATCTCCCTAATCTCCCGAAGGTTTCGAAGAGCCGTTGGTTGAGTTTTGTTTCGGGCTGGGTTTCGCAGGGAACTTCGGCTTCGTAGAACGCGTTGCCTGGTTGGACCCGCTACGGGATCTGGTTTGGCTGGAACAACTGTGGCACTGCATTCCTAGTCCTTCCGTGGCATTCCATGTGTTATTCTGTTCTTTCGTGCGGTAGATGTACGTGCTTTTGAACTGTGGATTTCATGGTGCCGAGCTTTTGTTTGGCCGCGGGAGGTCGTGAACGCCTGAGCGGTCACCTTCGCTTCGACCAGGGCAGGGAGCAGTACCAAAGTCAGAAGATTTCCCGAAGCCAACCAATTCTCTTGTGACAGTTATGCCAGTTGATGTGCGATGTACGGTTAAGAGTTCTCAAAGTTGTGGGCTCCCCTCAATAACAGGGTTGCGGAGGCACTTAGGCACTTTCACCCAGATTTTTCCTTGCCTAACCATTGGTGGTGTCGTCACAGGGTAAGAAGAGGTTCACAGTTCAGTTTGCGACCTAGACAGTGACATGGCATTGTTCCCTGCAGACCTTTTTTTCATCAAGGCTGCGGCCCTCTCTGTCGGCCATGGCGCGCTCCACGGCGCTGCTGAAGGCGGCAGTGGTGGCCTGCGCGCTGCTGGCCTTGAACCAGGCCTTCGTGGCGCCGGGTGCTAGCCCGAAACTGCGAGGTCAGGAGGCAGCGGTGGCTGGTGCCGTGCTGGCCGGACTCCCGGCCGCGCCTGCACTGGCAACGGACCAGGCATCGGATGCCATCAGCCAGCAGGAGGCCATCCTGATCTTCCTCCCGATCTTGTTCGTGTGGGTCCTGTTCTTGGACTGGGAGGGCAAGCAGCCATCGGCCGATGACGTGACGGGCTATGGCTACATGGGCAAGACCATCGACGGCACGACCCCGGACCAGCCCACGTACTTCCGCCGCAGCCCTGAGAACGGATAGGCGCAGACAGGTGATACCAGGCACACGATTGCCAGGGAGGTTCCTGACGACAGAAACCTGCTTCAGGAAAAGATTCTAAGAGGTTGCATAGACGTGAGCGCAAGTCGTATTGCGAGGGCATCCTTTTTTCGAGCCTCTCACAGGAAGCTGATGTAGTTGGAGACAAACCCTTGTCACGTGTACTGCAGATGAAGACCACGCACAGTATTTATCGTTATACTTGGCATTGTGAGCCTTTGCTGCTTGCAGAGTTTTTTTGGGCTCGAGGAGGGCCGCTTTTCGGTTGCCGCCATGGCGCGCTCCACGGCGCTGCTGAAGGTGGCAGTGGTGGCCTGCGCGCTGCTGGCCTTGAACCAGGCCTTCGTGGCGCCGGGTGCTAGCCCGAAACTGCGAGGTCAGGAGGCAGCGGTGGCTGGTGCCGTGCTGGCCGGACTCCCGGCCGCGCCTGCACTGGCAACGGACCAGGCATCGGATGCCATCAGTCAGCAGGAGGCCATCCTGATCTTCCTCCCGATCTTGTTCGTGTGGGTCCTGTTCTTGGACTGGGAGGGCAAGCAGCCATCGGCCGATGACGTGACGGGCTATGGTTACATGGGCAAGACCATCGACGGCACGACCCCGGACCAGCCCACGTACTTCCGCCGCAGCCCTGAGAACGGATAGGCGCAGACAGGTGATACCAGGCACACGATTGCCAGGGAGGTTCCTGACGACAGAAACCTGCTTCAGGAAAAGATGCTAAGAGGTTGCATAGACGTGAGAGCTGGTCGTAGTGCGAGGGCATCTCTTGTTCGAGCCTCTCACAGGAAGTTGATGTAGTTGGAGTCAAAGCCCTAAGCACAGCAGGTATCGTTACACTTTTGCATTGAGAGTTTTTGCTGCCGGCAGAGATTTTTGGGGCTCGAGGAGGGCCGCTTCCGGACTTTCTAGATCCTCCCATCATGCGGTTAGGGAAAGAAAGCCTTGAACCCCAAATCGCTTAGTGTTTCTTAAGGGTGCCGGGATGTCGATGGCATGTCGCGGATGTCGGGTGGATGTCGGGAGTGTGCACGTCATGGTCGAGCTGGAGGGGTTAAGATTTGATGTACAGCAGGGCATCTGGGTAAGGGCAGGTTGACGGTTACCCAAGCCAAAAACTCATGCAGCACTGCACTGTCTTGACAGGCTTCCTCTTGCCGGCACATGATACGGACCCCGGAGGCCACCCGTCACCGAGTAGCTACCATGCATTAGAGTTAACAGCGGGGTCTCTTTGACGCAATGTCTGAGAGTCTAAGATTTAGGTTGAACACATGAACCGGTAGCAGCCCCTAAGCCCTCATTCTTGACCGGCATGCAGACACCTGATTATACACCTGTGGTTTGTGCCCGGCTCAAGCTGCAATTGAATTTCTTCGGCCTGGTCGGCCGAGCTGCTTGGCCGCTGTAGGGTTTACGGTTTGAGCTTGAAATGTTTGTGACTTTTTGGTAGAGGGCTTAGGGCCTACACCAACTTTTCTGTCGGGATGCGCATCTTGATCTAACGGGGCTGTCGGTCACAGCCAGCCATGGCCAAAGTAGGCAATGGGGGGGGGAGATGCTATCTGAGGCCTGGAGGTCCAACAGCAGCAACCACAGCAGCACAACTTGATTGAACGCTGGACGAGTGGGCCCTGCTCATGTTGACACATCACCCTTTGGCACCTACAAACTATAGAAATGGAAAAGGAAGGGCGCGCGGAGCGGCGGTGACGGTGAGAGAGCAAGCATCGCCAAAAGAGCGCTTCGCTTGCGGGCGCGATTTCGGGGGATAGGTTTTGGGGCTCGAGGGTTTAGGTTTCGGAGAAGGGGTTTTAGGGCTTAGGTTTCAAGGTTGTTTTTCGGTTTTTTTTTCCAGGGTTTGCAGGGTTTGTTTGGGTTGGGGACGGGATGGGCGCGCGAAATCATTACGCTTGTTCGTTGCGTCGCCCCCCCCTTCTCACCTCCCGTCGTCGTGCAAGCTTTTTCTAGTACTGCGACGACGACTACTGCTCCTACTACCTACTGCATGCTATTGTGGCATGGCGGAGCAGGAATTCCCCATCAAACTAGTTGGTACACGGTAGATGGCCATGTGCACGAAGTAAGCGTCGAGGCACTTTGCTTGCATTGGTATTTACCATGGATTCGACATTTGGGTCTAACATGGGAGCAAAGGGCAAAAGCCCCGGAGAGCTACTTCGTGTGGTTTACACAAGATGCGTATTGGTACGGTTGATTAATGGTCTTCATGCATGTTCACCAAGGACATGAGGGCTTGTGACAGCACAAACAACCCTGTGCAGTATGTTATGCAAAGGTGCAACCATGCCGGAAATCCATGGAAATACCAGCGTTTTTGGCATGCTCGCGACAGTCCCGAATGCTCATGGCAGAGTGTCTTGCTCCAGACACGCTCAACATCCTGGCGGAGTATGTTGTGCAAAAGAAACAGAAGCGCTGTAAATACTAGTGTTTTTGTCATGTTCGCACAAGACATGAACGCTTCTCACAGCACGTCTTGTTCCAGAGACATCGTTTTGCATTATGTTGTGCAGATACCAGTGCTTTTGCGCAGGGTCGTTGTAGGAACGGACGTTATCCCCCCCACACCCCCAAGCCCCCTCACCCACCCCCACAAGCCCCCCCGGATGCAAACTACAAAAACATTGCACAGTGTTGTGCGCGAAGGCGAGCGTGATAGCGACCTGGGAACGCCGGAAGCTCCGAAGCGTTTGTGTGGTGCTGTGCTCAGTGTGGGCCGGGCTATCCAGGTTGCGCGATGCGGTGTAATGATGAAGTGTAGCTTGTCGGCGTCTGGGGGTATGTAAACAGAGACTTCCATCACTGACCACAGGCCTTAACCCCTCACGTTCATAACAGCTCTGCATCTTAGGCCAATGGGAAATTTCTATACCCTAGATGGAAGGCTGCGCGTGAGGATGTTCATGGAGTTCAGGTTAGGGGGGAGAGGATTCAGGCTTTATAGGGTTTAGGTTTACGGAGGGCTTAGGGGCTTAGGGGTCAGGACCAGCCAAGCTTCTGCAAACTCTTCCGACTTCCCTCCTGGCTTCTTGTCGGGGCTGGGGTTGGGTTCGGTTCTGGGTGCGACTAGCGAGTTGGAGTGTTGGACGGCTGGCACGTGTGAGGTTCTAAGTCCAACTTCTGCAGACAGGACCGACGTGAGAAGGATGCACCTGGCCCTGGGGCGATTTTCAATGTCCTGCGGCGATTTTTTTGGTCCAGCTCTTCCTGGGCTGCGCACGCCGAATCAGCATGCCATGACCACATGCAACACCTATACACTTCAAAGAAAGCCCTGTCTGGATTTGGACTTAGTTGACTTAGTTGGGCATGCTTTGCACGACGGCTCAGGCTGCACGAACATTCAGAACGTGAGCTGACTGGAGTTTTTGCATGGCTGCAGCTGAGTCTGTGGCAAGGACATGTACGGCCTCGGCGAAACCGCTCGAGTGAGTACTGAATGCGCGCACAAATATTGCTATTTTACCGAGGGGGTTGTGGGCTAGGGTTGAGACGAGGGACTTCAGGGAGCGGCGGCTATTCCCAGCCGCGCATGCGTGGCCATGGCACGCACAGGTGTTGTGCATCGTGAAATGCGGAGCCTGAGCCCAGGCTTTGAAAGCTGCAAAGAAAGATCTGCAGACCAGCTTGCAGGCACGGGCCTGGGCATGTGATGTGATTAAGTTGCTGTCGCCTCGCCTTCTGCCGTGACATTTCAATCCAGCCACGAAGTTTGAGCTGGCATTGCGGAGGCACTCAAGAAGGCCAATGCGCCCAAAGCAGGCGTGGGAGAGATGCAAGGGTTTGGGGTAGAGGCTTAAGCCGTAAGCCCTCAATTCGAAACCTCCGATGTCTTCGCGACCCCAGAGGAGGGCGAGGGCTGCCAACGCCGCCCAAAACAGGCATGGGGGTAGAGGCTTAGAGAGGGTGGTCAGGTGGGGAGACAAGGGCAAGAGTGCAGGGCAGGGAGGTTCGCCTAGCGCTGGGAAAGTGGAGAGGGAAGGGTCAGGCTCCCATTTTTTATGAAAGAGTTGCAAGATAGGAGCAGAGGGAGAGGGGAAACACCAAAGCTTTTACTGGCGCCGTGGCCAGAGGACAAAGGACAAGGTTCCCTTTGTCAGTGTGATTTGAGAGTTTCATGTTAGATCCTGACGTCTGGATTTAGGGTTCAGGCTCGGGTATGTGTATGCGTGTTTGGGGTTGAGGGCTGCAAGGGACAGTCAGCCATAAGCCTGTTCGGTAGGGGCTTGCCCAATCCTAGCACCTGAGATATGAAGAACTCAGAACTTTAACCCTCAAGGTCTTAACCCTGACCCCTAAGCCGTAAGCCCTAAATTCGAGACCTCCGATATCTTAGCGACCCCAGCGGAGGGCTTCAGCGGCCCACGCCACCGCCCAAAGCAGGCGCGGGAGAGATGCAAGGGTTTAGGGGTAGAGGCTTAGGGAGTGCAGAGGGAAGGGTCGGGCTCTTATTCTTTATAGATAGGAGCGGAGGGAGAGGGGAAACACAAAAGCTTCCACTGGCGCCATCGCCAGAGAAAAACAATCAAGACAAGGTTCTTTCTGTCAGTGCGATATGGGTTATCTAAGTTCTAAAGATATGTGTTAGTCCAAACATCAAAAGTAGGACGACGGCAGAACGACGGAGGGACGACGGTGGGACGACGGAGGGACGATGGTGGGACGACGGAGGGACGACGGCAAGACGACGGAGGGACGACGGCAGGATGACGGGGGGACGACGGCAAGACGACGGCAAGACGACGGAGGGACGACGGGGGGACGACTGGGGGACGACGGCTGTCGCGCCGTCGTCGCGTCGTCGTCGCGCCGTCGTCGCGCCGAGGCCTAGTTTAAGCCCAAACTAGGCCTTATGACGGCGGGACGACGGCGGGACGACAACGACGCGACGACGGCGCGACAGTCGTCGTCCCCCCCGTCGTCACCCCGTCGTCGCGCCATCGCACCCTGTCGTCGCG